TTTGTGTGTGTGTGGGGGGGGGGGTGTGTGTGTAGGCTACGTGCATTCCCTGCTGACCAAGCTGACCGCCCTGTCGGCGGTAAGCGGCACTCAAGTGGCCTTCCTCACCTCCCTAACCGAGATAACCGTCGTCGGTCAGCCAGCCACCCTCCAGACCACTCACTCACACAGAGAGTTGATGCAGCCAGCACTGACTGCATTGACTGCAATGACTCGCTGCAGACGGTTTGGAGGACGGTTCTCGCGACAAGGCCGTCGCCAAGGCGCTGCTGCAGACGGAGGTCGAGCCGGGTTTCCTGGCTTTGGGGCCGAGCCACTGCGCCGCAGGCATGAACAACACCGTCTGGTACTATAGATGCCACTCGCCGACACCGTCCAACGCTGCTGCAAATGGGGTAAAGAAGTGACACACAGTGCAAAATGGCTGGCTGCTGTTGTTGAGTTGAGTTGACAGTAAGTAGTAGTATTGGTGTGTGGCTGGCTGTGGTGTGGTGTTGTCAGGGCGTGTTGGTGGGGCGGCAGACGTACGTGGGCTCCGTTGACAGAGTCGCGCTGACCGACACACACGCCGTCGTGTCAACCGAGGGAAAGGTGAGCTGCGCTGGGACCCCATCCGCCCATCCGTCCATCCATCCATCCATCCCAGAAGGAACCCCCATGTGTGTGTGTGTGTGTGTGTGTGTGTGGCAGGTGGTAGTGCACCGCATTGATGCGGCCGGGGGCGACGGCAGCGGGATGGAGGTGCTGCCGCGGAAGGACACCGACAAGCCCATCAGCGAGCCGACGGTGGCCGGGCCTTTTCTCATCTTCATCCAGGGCGGCACCGCCATACAGTTCTACGACATCACGGTACGGTCGGTGCGTGAGCCGGCCATCCATCCATCCATCCATCCGTGTGTGTGTGTGTGTGTGTGTGGATCGAACAAGCAGGGTGGGGAGGTGGTGAATGAGTACCGGCATTCGCAGAGGGTCTCGAAGATATTCCCCAGCCCCACCGGCACCCGAGTGGTCCTCATCGACGTGCAGGGCAGCGCCGCGCTCTACAATCCCATTGACGACAACTGTCTGCCGTAGGCCACACAGCCACCCCCCACCCCCCACCCCCCCACACACACAGGCGCGGCGGCCCCCTCACTCTCTCTGTGTGTGTTAGGATCCCCGAGTACCCCAGAACGGCGCACACGGTGTTGTGGGACGTGGCCATGCCCTCGCTGTTCGCGGCGTGCGACGCGCAGCTGGTGGTGCCCTTCCTCTATAGCCACAACACCATCGACGGGCCCAAGATCACTCAGGCGCGTGTGTGTGCGAGAGAGGCCAACACACACTACTCTAGAAACCCTCCACTCGTGTCTGTGTGTGTGTGTGTGTGGATCCATCCATCCATCAGGTGTGCAGCATCGACCTGGGAAGGAGTGACGACGACCCATCACAGCACCCCTCGCAACACCCCTGCACCACCGCCCTCCCCCCCGGCAACGCGCCCATCCTCCTCTACGACGGCATCCTGCTCGCGCAACAGCCAAACGGACAGCTGGCCGCCATGAGACTCAAGTCGCATGACGCGCTGCCCCTTCCCGCCCCTCTGCAGGGATGTCACGATGCACTGCTGATGCCTGAGGGGTCTCCTGCTGGTGGTGGTGGTGGTGATGATGCTCAGAGGGTGTTTAGCGAGTTCAGGCAGAACCTGGCGCTTGGGAGGGCCCAGGTAATTGAGAGCTCAGGGAGGGGCAGGGAGAGGGGGAGGGGGCCGCCCACACCCACACCAACAGACAGCGTCTGTCTGTCTGTCTGTCTGTGTGTCATTCAGGCGGCCTTGATGTGCCTAATGGAACTGGAGAAGGCCTCGTCAGCCGACAACATGCCCCCCGTAGAGGCGCTGCTGTCGCGTCTGGCGCGTCGGTGCCTCGAGCTGATGGAGCTGGAGGTGGCGCTGCAGGCCTACAGGAAGCTCAGGCGGCCGGACATGGTCACATGGGTGCAGAAGCTCATGGCCGTCGAGGAGAAACTGCTGCTGAGGGCACATATCGCAGGTGCGCCGCGCACGCACCAGCCCATCCATCCATCCATCCATCCACGTGTGTGTATGTGTGTGTGTCGGGGGGGTGCGTTCGTTGGTCAGTTCACTTGGAGAGGTTCCGCGAGGCGCAGGAATTGTTCATGGCGTCGTCTTGCCCCGAGTGTGCGCTCGACCTGCACTGGGACCTGCAGCAGTGGGACCAGGCCCTCAAACTGGCAAAGGTCCTCTCTCTCCCCCGGCCACACAGAGAGAGAGGAAGTAAGGGTCGATTCGTTCATGTGTGTGTGTGTGTGTGTGTGTGTGTCAAGCAGTCGATGGCGCCTCACCGGTTGCCAGAGGTGTACCTCCGCTGCGCGGCCCAGATGGAGCAGAAAGGCGAGTTCGAGCAGGCCCTCTCCCACTACGAGCAGGCCCACATCCACGGCCTCTCACCAGACGACATCCACAAGCACCCCCAGCTCGAGCACCATAACCTGCAGGCCAGCGCCGGGCTCGCCCGCTCCTGCCTCCGCGTGGGCGACACCAGCAGAGGCATGGCCATCGCCTCTGAGATCAGCAGGACGGCGCACGACCCTTCGAGGCCTGCAGGGGTGCGTCAGGCGGCCATGGGCGTGGTGCGCGAGTGTGCGGCCCTGCTGGAGGGGGTCAACCAGCGGGGCGAGGCGGCGGAGCTGTGCAAGCTGGCGGGGCTCTTTGAGAAGGCCGCGGCGCTTTACATACAGGTCAGTCAGGTGCACACGCACCCACCCACTCTCTCTCTCTCTGTGTCTGGCAATGTGTGTGTCTGTTCTGTCGCCAGGATCTGGACTTCGACAGTGCGGGCCCGCTGATGCACAAGATCGGCACGCCCAAGCTGCACGCTCAGTACGCCAAAGCCAAGGAGTCCAGAGGCGCCTTCATGGAGGCCGCCACCTCCTACGAAGCCGCGCAGGACTGGGAGGCCGTCGTCAGGATCTTCGTACGCTCTCTTGGACACAAATCACCCATACACACAAATGCATTTGAGATGGATGGATGGATGGTGCCGTCCGTCTCTCTCTCTTTCTCTCTCCCTCTCTCTCTCTTGGTGTGTGTCGGTGTGGTGTGCAGCTGCAGCAGCTGAATGACCCGGCCAAGGCGTTCGACATAGTGCGCAAGTCGCACTCCATCGGTGGCGCAGAGCTGGTGGCCGAGTACTGCAAGTGAGGTGTGAGCATCCCTCTCTGTGTGCTGTCTGTATGTCTGTCTGTCTGTCTGTCTGTCTGTGTGCCGGGGGTAGGTCCAAGGGCAACGTGTCAGGTGCCATCGAATTCCTCCTTTTCGCGGGCAAGATGGAGGTAGGTCTCCCTGCAACCACCACACCACACCACCTGCTGTGTGTTGTGTCTCTCTCTGTCTGTGTGTGTGTGTCTGTGGTCTGTCTCTCAGGAGGCCTTTGCGGTGGCCGAGAGCCGCGACGAGATGGACGCCTTCGCCAAGGCCCTGGGCGAGGGCGGCACTTCCGACATCCACCTCAGGATCGCAAAGGTAGGTGGTGGTGGGGGGCGGGTGTGTGTGTGACCACAGTACGCCCCCGGACGGTGTGCGTTTGTGTGTGCGTGTGTGTGTGTTGTGATTGACATGGTTTTGCAGCATTACGAGACCCGGCATCTCTTGGGCAAGGCGGCGCAGCACTACATGACGGCCGGACACTTCAAACAGGCTCTCAACCTTTACCTCAGGGTGCGTGTGTGGGTGGATGGATGGATGGGTGGGTGGGTGTGGTTGCGACACCGCCCGAATGCAACACGACACCGTGTGTGTGTGTGTGTGTGTGTCAATGGAACAACAGGCTGGCGAGTCCGAGCTGGACAACGCCATAGCGGTTGTGGGCCGTGCGCGGGACGACCTGCTGACGCGGATCCTCACGAGCTACCTGGTGGGGGAGACCGACAACGTCCCAAAGGACCCCAGCTACCTTTACAAGTAAAGTACTCACACACAGAGAGAGACACAGAGAGAGGGGCAGGAGAACGATCCTTTTAACACTTTCTGTGCCGCGCCAATGTGTGTGGGGTGGGATGTGTGTGTGTGATTGTGTAGGCTGCAGCTAGCCCTAGGCAACCACGAGGGCGCCGCGCGCACGGCCGTCTTCATCGCCCGCAACGAGCAGGACCTCGGCAAGTACCAAGTGGCGCATTCGCTCCTTTTCAAGACCTGCAAGGTAAGCTGCCTGCCCCCCTCCCCTCCCCTCCCCCTCACACCCGGCCCCCCTGTGTGTGAATGCCGTCTGTGTGTGTGTGTGTGCTGGCCTCCATTCCACCACACCCAGGATTTGGAGGCTGCGGGTCTGCGCATCCCGCAGTCGCTTTGGTCGGACCTGACTCTGCTGCACTCTTATATACTCGGTAGGGTAGGTGCGCAGGAGTGAGTCTGCACATGTGGATGGATGGATGGATGGATGGACACATCGGTGGAGTGTGTCGGTGGGTGGTCAGTGAAGCGCCTGGTGAAGCTCGGGGATCACTACGGCGCGGCGCTGATGCTCCTCAGAGTCGCAAGAAGCATCCACAGGCAGGCCACCCCTTCCCTCCACACACCAACACACCAACACGCCCTCCCTCCATCCCTACATCCCTCCGTGTGTCGTGTGTGGTTGCCTGTCTGCCTGGCAGGTTTCAGCAGCACGTGGTGCCCATCCTGACGTCCGCAGTGGTCGAGTGCCAGCGCGCCGGCCTCAAGGTGTCCGCACACCAATACGCCTGCATCCTGATGAAGCCAGAATACAGGCAAGCCCAGGCACCCTCCACCCACCGCTTCCCCCTCCAGGCACACCACACCACACACAGAGAGATAGATGTCTCTCTGTGTCTGTGTCTGTTTTTTGGTCTGATGTGTGGTGTGTTGATCGGCCTGCCAGGGCCCATGTGTCTGACCAGTACAAGAAGAAGATCGAGAGCATTGTGCGCAAGCCTGTCAAGGAGGAGAGGGAGCCCGACAACGCGCCGTGCCCGACGTGTGGGGCGCCGCTGCCCGAGGCCCAGCTGGAGTGCCCCCACTGCCTGGTGCGTGGTGGCCCGTCACAGGCGCACACACAGAGAGAGAGAGAGAGGGAGAGATCGATCACAGACGCGGAAGTCCGTGTGTTCACATGGATTGCACTTGGTGGATTGGATTGTCTCCTTCCCCTGTGTGTGTCCTTTCTGTGTGTGTCATGTCATCCATCAGAACATCTCGCCGTTCTGCATAGCGTCTGGGAAGCACCTGGTGGCGGGGGATGCCACACAGTGCCCCCACTGCCTCTTTCCAGCAAGGGTGGGTGACAAGACAGGACGGGCAACCAACACAAATCTCCCCTCCCCTCCACCCTGCACACACGTGTGTGTCGTGTGTGTGCAGTATTCCGCTCTGGTTGAGGCGGCAGGCAACGAGGGGCAGTGCCCCATGTGCAGCCAGCCGCTGCACCCCCACCAGCTCGAGAGAATCGACATCAAGGACATTCTCAGGAGGCACAAGGCCCTTGTCGACGTGCAGAAGGAGAAGGACGACACCGCCCACACACACACACACTCTCACACCACCACCAACGGCACACAGCAGGTGGTGCCAGGGGGTGTGGGGGGCGATGTGCGGTCGAATGGCCACGAGGGGAGTGGGAGTGTGGGGCAGGTCAAGGTGGGCGAATCGCAGGAGTCCCTGGCCACTGTTGCTGTGCCGGGGGGTGTATAATGCGGTGGATGGAAGGATGGATGGATGGATGTGTGTGTGTGTAATTGTGTATAAGGATGGGGCGGCCGTGGTGTGGTGTGGTGTGTAGTTGTGCATTTCTTCTTCCTTCACGTTAGCTATGGCTCGCTGTGCGTCTCTCTCGTGTGCAGACTGGAATGCTATTCGTTGCTGTCTGTCTTGTCTGTCTCAGACACTGACTGACTCGTCACTCCATGCTCACGATGCATGCATGTGTGTGTGAATTAATCCGTGAAACGGCAAACGCGCCGCGTGCCTATAGGCATCCCGCCATCGGTCTACTGACTGGCACACATACACAGACAGACAGGCATCCATCGTCTCAACGGCTGGGCTCCTCCTTCCCATCACCTACACACCTACACACACAGAGAGAGAGAGATTATCGCGACCGCCGGACAGCGGAAACCGATGCGGCGTGTAATGTGTGTGTGGTCGGGTCGGTCAGGCTTAGATGTTCTTGTGTATGTGTGTTGTCCCCACTGGCTATGCCTCCGGCACAGGTCTGTGAAGTGCTCTCATCATACTCCCGATCCCTCCCTCCCCCTCCCCCCTCCCCCTCCCCTCCTCACCTCACCCTGGTTGCGTGTGTGTGCCCACAGCCGTTTCGACAGCCACCACAGGCAGCCACAGGTCACTCACTCCTCAGCGTCTCCCCCTCCATCTCCCTCTCCCTCTCCCTCTTCCTCTCCCTCTCCCTCCCCCTCAGCACCGGTCCGCCGCCTCTTGCGCGCCGCCCGCTCGGTCTTCTTCGCCTCTTTCTCACTGACAGCAAACTCCGACATTTCCTGCTGCAGCGACGCAGGCTGACAGAGAGAGAGGGAGAGAGTGGGTGTGGGCAGACGAGAGGGGAATAAAAATGGGGGGGGCTCAACACACAAAGACAGACGTACCAGGCGGGCCCTGAATGCGGGCAGCTCTGCGGTGAAGAGCAGTGAGTGCGCCCAGCCGGCGCGGCTGCCATACCTTATGGCATCCATCCATCCATCCATGGCGCACACACATCCTATTCGGCGTCCCTCCTACCTACCTGTCGCGAAAGAGGTCGCCCACCCGGTCGTAGACGGCCGGCGTGAGGGACTTGGCCGACTGCAGAGAGCGGTCCAAGTCCCTGCAGGCGATGCGCCACACGTGTGTGTCGACGGGGATGGCGTCGAACCGGTCAAGCGAGAACAGACCGACGCAGTCGGCCACCTTCCGGCCGACACCCCTGCCCACACGAACCACACACACATGGGATTGATGGATGGATGGATGGATGTGTTGTGGGGGGCACCTGAACTGCAGCAGTTCCTTCTGCACTTCCTGCCGCGTCATGGTCGGGGATTTCAGTTTCTGCAGGAAGGCCTCGCCCCCCAGCTCCTTCAGCGCCTTGGCCGTCTCAACCACCGATTTGGCGCGATACCCCAACCCTACACACACACACACACACACACACCAACCATAGCAATGCAGCCATCTCTCTCTGCAGATCGTTCGTCGTTCGTCGATCTATACCAATGCTTCTGAGGCCTTGTTCCGACGCGGCGGCGAGGCGGTCGATAGTCGGGAAGGAGTACCAGCTGTAGCCCGAGCCCGCATGCTCACCGCCCCCACCCTCCTCCTCGGCTCGCCTCTCGTCAGATGAGCTCCGCAGTCCCCCACCACTCCCTGCCATTTACAGGCACACCCACAGCACAACCAGACACAAGATGCGCCTGCAGCCAGCACATGGTTGCAACGAGCGCACTGCACCGTCTCGGCTGATGCTGTCTTGGTGTTCCTGCAGCGCGGCGCCGGTGAGTGTGGGCGTGGGGCTGGTGATGGTGGCGATTAAGTCGCCGTAGTGCCGCTTGAGTCGGTCGATCATGAGAGTGATGCGGCTGATGTTGTTGTTGGACGAACAGATGAACGTGAACAGACACTCTGTCGCATCCTGTGGGACCGACCGATGGAATGGACAGCACAGGGAGGGAGGCAGGGAGGGAGAGTGAGTTCGGGACATCCGCCCATCCATCTATCCATTCTTTCGTCCTTTCGTTCACCTGTTGGATGACCCTGGCGCCTCTGAGGGCCGGAACAATCTGCCGCATCCGCGCGTCAGCGCCCTCCCACCTGCAGAACAGAAAAGCACAGAACAGAACACCCACCGGCAGGCAGATGCATGATGCGCTTCTTCTTCTCCTTGTGTTTGTGTGTTGCTGTGCTGTGCCGGCTGACCTCCTGTACAGCGGCGCCATCTCCGTGTGGAGCCTGAAGAACTCCCGCACCTCCGCCACACACTCGCTGCCGTCGCTGGAATACCGACTGTGGTGCAGACACCTGGGGGGACCAGACAAGACACACAGGGATAGCACTGACTGCACCAATGAATGCATTCATTGCACTCACTGTCTGTCTGTCTGTGTTCGTTCGTTCTCACCTGAACAGAGTCGTCTGCTCGGTCTGTCTGATGTGGTAGACTCCCCTACCAATCACGCCCACCCACTCCTTGCTGTCACTAACACCATCACCAGCACCATCAGATGGCGCCTCAACTGCACCAGCCTCAGCCTCGCACGGCTTGAATGAGAAGCACTGCCCCGACACGAGGCAGAACTCCGGCTGCAGCTCCGGCGGAGGCACCTGCAGATCTGTCCATGGTATCTTAGAGGCGGCTGTGGCTGTGGCTGTGGCTGCGGCTGCCATGGCCCTCCTCCTCTCAGACGAGCGCCGCAAGGCGGTTGGTCGCGCACATGGATGGCTGGATCTGAGTGCGCCAGTGGATCTTGCCAGAAGCGTCAGGATCAGCAGGAGAGTCCGAGCCAGGCCGGATGAGGGGAGCGACTACGAGCTGCAAATCCCCGTTTAGCGTTGTTTACCTGCTGTAGGTTCGTGGGAATCAACAGACTCTCGACTCGGCTGCAGCCGCAGCGGTTTCAGGGAGCACCCTAAGCTTTGCGAGCTCAAAAACCGCGAAGAACGGAATGAAGCGCAGAGATCTGGGGTGGGCCGCCACACCTCTGCTCTTGGCGCTGCCTTTGTGCTCTCACTATGTCATCGCAAGGGCGGGCGTCCCCGACCCGCTCTCGTGCCAAGAGAAGGGCTTCATCACAGACAGGTAGATACAACAAGACAAGCAGCGAGGACCATCCATCATGTGCCGCAAACCACACCACCTGCCTCATGGCGATTGATGTCTTTGTCTGATTTCACTCACTTATTCAGTTTGCTGTGCTCGAGTTGTGCTCGTGTTGGCGTGCAGCTGCCCAAGTCGGCGGAGAGCCGGCGGCTGATTGACGAGTGCCAGTCGTGCTGCAAGGCCGACAATGTGGCCTCGGCAACTCATGTGAGTGAGGGAGTGAGCGAGCCAAGGAGAGCGAATCTGCCGAATCTTGCACTGCTTGTGTGTCCCATGTTGCACGCCACGAGTGTCTGTCTGTCTGTCTGTGCAGATCACGCTCGTCCTGTGCCCATCTGAAACGAGCTTCAATCAGGACATCGAGCACTTCGTGAGCACACCCACACCCACACACCCACACGCATACAAACACCATCACTCTCCAGTGACACACAGGCGCCGATGACCTCGTGGTCCTGGTTGTGCTGTTTGTTGTTGTCATGCAGATCCGTCGTGAGGTGCCGCGTTTCGGCAAGAAGATGAGCATCAAGTACATCAGGGGGGCGCGGACCACACTCGTGCTGCAGAGGGCGGCAGACGCTAGCAGCAGCAGCAGCAGCAGTAGTGCTGGGGGGGAGGGGACTGACAAGACAGAGGCACACGAACACGAACACGTCAACATACGGTCGGTCAGCCTCACGCCCATTGACACCATGTGCGCGGTGCGCCAGATCTCTCTCTCTCTCTCTGTCTGTGTGTGTGTGTGTGTGCGCGTGTCTTACTTGCAGTGGCTGGAAAAATGACGACCTGGTTCTGTATTGCTTGAACCAGCTGGGGATGCGGCCAGAGGACCTCAAGGACGAAAAGCCCGATAAGAAAGTCAAGGCGTAGCGTACCGTACCGCAGCGTAGGATGGATGCATCCATCGCAGAGGCATGCATATGCCCCGTATGTATGGTTGGGTGTGTCCGCTACGCTGCTGGGTAGGGGTTGGGTTGGTTGTGCTAATTCGGTGGTAAGTGGTTTTATATATCACAGCTGACCGACTGTTCATAGATAGCCCTGTGTGTTGCGTGTCAGCTGACTGAGATGAGATCCAATCTTCCTGTGCGTGTCTCTGCCTTCACCTCGTCGGTCGGTCGAAGAGGGACGGCAAAACGAAACTACCGAAAAGGAGGACGCCCAAACGTCCGAAAGGTGCTGAGAAGCGCGCTTGGGGGCCTGGGGGAGGGGGGGCGTCTCAGCGAGACTCCCCGTCCTCAGGTGGAGGGGGGTTCTTATCTCAAGGAAGCCGGTATACTTAGTGTCGGCTGCTGGTTGTGCTGCGGCAGCTCAGGGTTTCGTCATTCCTTAACGGCTGCCACCGGCGGCCCACCGCAATCATGACGGCGCGGGCGGACCTCACAGTCCTGCCTGCAGTGTTGCTCATCGTCCTGGGCCCTGCGGCTGGACTCCGGGCCCCTCGACTGGCCGCTGATGCCAATATTACCCAATCGCACGGTGCTTTGCGCTGAGAGACTCTCTTGCCATTGTCGTGTGTGCGTGGCGTGGTATGCAGGCGTACTCGTTGAGGCGAGTGACTCCGAGCTTGAAATGGACACGCAGCCGGAGGGAGCAGGTAGCGTGTCTTGCCCGAACGCCTCCGCTGCTAGACTGATGGATGCTACGCGTCTCTTCGTCTCCCTCACGCGTGGCGTGTGTGCAGAGATATTTGTGTGCAGCCATCCCGAGAGAAGGTCCGCTGAGAGGAACAAATACGAGGCCGAATGGAGCTCCGTCCAGAGACAGAAGATAAAATTCACACAAGGCACGCAACGAAGGAAGGAGACCGGCCAGCCAGACCAACACACACCCATGACGTAACTAACTACACACCTCTGTTTCTGTCTGTCTGTCTCCCTCTGTGTGTGTGTATGTGTGTGTGTGTGTGTAGCGGCGGAGTGCTCCTACGGTCAGGGACAGAGCGCCGAGGCCACCTGTCCGGACAACCTCAAGTGCTACTCCCAGCGGCTCAAGCGCTACCGAGAAAAACTCGAAAACAGCATCTTCAACAACTACCTCGGCTACAGACTCGACAGGGGACTGACCGATCGCACAATCAAGACAGCGGATGGCGAGGTCGCTGAGCGCTTCAACGCCAGCGCCCCTTGGCTGTCGGACTACCGCTTTCTCTGCAACAGCGGTGGCCTCGCCGAGGCCAAGAGCTTCTTGCTGAAGCCAATGCATGAGCAGCGCATCAGTGGCCTCATCAACAAGGCCATCCAGAACTCTCGCAGCACGGTCACGGCCAAGGACACCGCCGCGCAGATCGAACAAATGGCGGACGACTACTCTCGTCTGCTAGAGCTTTACAACGACAACCTGGAGCGGCTGGTGTTCTCCAAGTGCCGGTGCTGCGCCAAGTACGTCAAGAAAGTCAGGGAGACCAGGAAGAAGGGCAAGAAAAAAAAGAAAGACAAAGAGGAGCCCGCACGCGAGAAGGTCTCCGAGGAGGAGCTCGAGAAGTACAGAAGGAAGGTGCTGGCAGAAGCCGAGGTGAGTGAGGCGTGACACTTCTTCCACACACACACGCACACACACACACACACAGAGAGAGAGGCTAACAATCACGGCGTGTGTTCTCGTGGGATCCATCTTGCATCAGTCGTGGCAGAAGTCCGCCACGTCTCAGGCCATCCGGCCTGTGGCGGTCCATCCAGCCCCCCAGGCCGCCGGTGCCATCAGGCCGACCGCCGTCACGCACGCCCAGCAGCCACCAGTGCAGGAGGACACCATACCCCGAGAACAAAACAGGAGGGTGACCGACACCGGCTCTCTGCCGCGAACCGCATCCTCGCCTGCGTCACTTGCTGCTGCTGCCGCCGCTGATGATGATAAAGCGCCCACCACCAGCACCACCAGCACCAGCACCACCACCCAGGAAGAGGAGCAAGCAAAGCCGGTGTCGCCTCGAGACGAGCAGCAGCAGCACCAGCAGCAGCTGCAGCAGGAGGCAGCCCCGGACTTTGAGCGCCACCCGGAGACTGGTTGGTACTTCGACCACACGAGAGAGACATGGTTCGACCGCAAGAGCCAAACCGTCTGGAGTGACGGTTTGGGTGAATGGGTCGCACCCACACCCGAGCAGGTACAACACGACACTCAATAAAACTAAGGCAATGAAAAGATGTTCGGATGCTGACATGTCTGTCGATGATCGATATATGCTCAGGCGAGGTTGTACTTCGACTCCCTCTACCCGATGCGCACAGAGTGCTGCATCAAGGGAGGCGACACTAGCTGCTGCTCTGGTTTCGAACCTGCACCCGCACAGCCACCCATAGAAGAAGCCGCCACGCACGAAGTCCAACCCCCGCCCCCTTCTCCGCTCCCGAAGGCCGTCACCCCAGCGCCACAGGCTGCAAAGCCCGTTGCCCGAGCAGCCTCAAAGGAAGAAAAGGGCCCCGAGTAAGCTTCCTCAAACCTCACGGAGGCGGTCATGAAGCATCGCTTGGTGGAGAAGGTGAGAAAACAGTTGGAGGAGATGGACAGGGAGAAGGACCAGGAAGAAGAGGCCAACTGGAAGGAGTAGGACACCAAGATGTGATCCGTCGATGGACCGACCAGTCGAGGCTGCCTGCCTGCCTCAGTCAGTCAGTCGTGTGTGAGCATCCACGGACGGCTTGTTTTTCGGCTGCATGCTGTGTGCGCGGGTCTGGTTGTTCCCTTTATGTCTCGGGGGGAGAGGTGCGCCGACTGAGTGGGGAGAAAGCGAGATGGTGGACATGGACAGATCAGATTCGACAGTGAAGCGCTTTCCTTCAAAAAAGGAAACATTGTCCATCCATCCATCCCTCCCTCCCTCCATCACGTGTAGAAGCCATCCATCCGTCAAGTGATGTCTCTCAACACAGCTGCACTGACCAGGTCGTCAAATCACACACACGCTGGGATGTGTTTGTGGCAGAGGGCCACACAGCACCCTCACCCATCCAGCAACCAACCAGCAGCACACTAAACAACACCACACAGGTCCACCCGGTGGACTCTCCTAGGCCGTCGACAGGTGCTGCTGCTGACCACTCGCCGCCTGCTGCTGACCACTCGCCACCTGCTGCTGCTGTGTAAGGCCCACCTCGGCCATGCACTTGAGTATGCACATCGGGTCCTCTGAGGGTTCCACCGTGCTGACGTCCTCCTCCACATCGATGTATCTGTGACGGACGCATGGGGGAGACAAGACACAGACGACACGACCAGGCAGGTCAGACAGACAGACGGGAAATCGTGTGTGTATCGGTTGGTTGATGTGTTGTTGGGTACGGTGTGGGTATGTACTTACGAGTTGTGGCCTTCTGGGCCCGGGAACGATGTGAGGACGGCGTCGGAAAAGTATGCCTGCTCACGGTGGGCCTTGACCAACTGAATGAAGAGCGATATGTAAAACACAAGGACACAGACAGACAAAGAGATGGGCCAGGCGATTGGGTCATCACACTGTGTCTGTCTGTGTATATATTCGTGTGCAGTGCGACAGACCTCCATTTCGAAGTTCTCACAACGGGTCTCCACCAGCGTCGGCATGCTCTTTATCAGGCGGTCGTGTTCCTGCCATTCAGCCAAGAACAGACAGCAGCTCGAGATACACAAGGATGGGCGGAGGGAGAGATGAGCTATAATGGGTGTGTGTCCGACGAGCATCAGAGTGCTCTCGGACGGCTTCTCCACCAGCAGGACTTTGACCAACGACGCCCCCGGCAACACACTGCAACAACAAAACGCAAATGCAGAGGAGGGCAAGACGTCACGTCACACATGTGGGTGTAGGTGTAGGTGTGGGTATGTGTGCACATCTCACCCTCTGCTGGCCTCGAGGGCCGCCATGTCGACCGTCGAGTCTCCGATCGTCACCACCCGGCCAAACCGCAGCCCTTTCCCCTTGTACACGGCCAACAGATCAGCTACACATGACATCTGCTCACACACACACGACGGCGCCCTCCCTCCCTACAGACGTCCTTTGTCTGTCTGTCTGTCTGTGTTTGCCTTCCATCCGGTCGACGACGTCTTTCCCCGGCCGTTGATGTGGGCGTGTTGGCGGGCGGAGATGACGGGGATGGTGTGCTGCTGCAGCACACGCCGGACCTCCTCGTAGCCTTTAAGCCCCACGGCCTCCTCGAGCCTGAGGACAAAGACGATAGAAGGACTGGATGAGTGCTCGAGAAGTGGATGGCGTGGATGGCTGTGTGTATGTGTGTTACCAGCTCGGGTTCCCGTTCGAGATGACAGCCACCTCTCCGATGGCCGCAGCGGCCAGGAGCAGGTCGGAAGTCCACTTGCCGCCTTTGTAGTACAGTGCCCGCCGCTGCTCCACCCTCAGCGCCTTTACTATGTTGGTCGGAACTGCACGTTCCGACACACATACAGAGAAGAAGAAGAAAAGAAGAACTTCAAGACCACCTCCAGATCCATCCCATAGACCGACAGAGACACGATCTGCGCACTCACACAGTGTATCGTCCCAGTCGAATATGGTCAGCACGTCAGTTCCCCCACACAAAGATGGTGCCGGGCTCAACGGAGGCGAGTACCATCCTGGCCCGTAGTGCGGCGACGGCGGCTCAGGGGGATGCATTCTGTCATCATTGCTGCCTTCGGGAGGCACTGGGGGTGGTACTGGCGGCATGGGAGCCATTTCCTGGCCCAGGGCTGCAAAGGGCTCTCAGAGGGATGGTGTGGGCCAGAAGGATGGTTCTCGCTGGATGGGCAGGTCAGAGAGGTGCGGCTGGATGAGGCCTTCGTATCTTTAGAAAGGGAGGGCCACTACCGGAGAATGCAAAAGCGACCAGAGGAGCATCATCAAATTTACCTGGGGGATGCATGTCCTCTGCTGGCAGCCTCAGATTCACGAGCGGTCTATCATTCGCTGGCATTCCATCGCCGTCGACCATGCGCTGTGCTGCAAGCGGTACGGCCTGGTGATTCGTCGCCACAACGAGCTGCGGGACACTTTTGCCGAGCTGATTGGGATGGCGTGGGGGGACGCTGGA